TCTGTACACATCTAAAAGGTCCAGTTGGCTGATTGTATTGTTTAGTTCTTCTGTGTCTTTGACAAGTTTCTTTCTGGTTGTTCTATCCATTTTTGAAAGCGGTGTATTAAAATCACCCACTATATTGTAGATTCATCTATTTCTTTCTTCAAATCTATTAGAGTTTGCTTTATATATTTTGGAGCTCTTTCTGGTTCAATAAGTCTGAATGGCCAAGACTCCCTTTTGATTTGTACATAAGTTTACTATTTACAGGCTTGTGGAAGAAAATGGAATATGGGCTTGTACTTAGGAAGAGCTAGGCAATAGAAGTTTACTTTCAGAAATAAGTTTTAGTCTGTTGTAGGGGAAAAATGATACCAAATTCAAATATATATTATTGTTGTTGTTAAGTGCCGTCGAGTCAGTACAACTCATGGTGACCCTGTAGAGGGTTTCCGAGGATTAACTATTGGGTTTTAACTGTTGACTCTGTGGTTTGAAGTCTAGTGCTGATCCTATAGCGACACATATGGAATCTAAATGTATATTATGAAGACCTTTATAGTAAGTCTTAAACAGAACAAAGACAAGGGAACCACAAAGACAAATCATCCAGCACGGATGAGAAATTGGTAGCACGAGGCCATGATGGTACCCAAATGATTCACATCACATGACTGTTGATAGAAGATAGAGAATGAAAGAAATTCATCACAAAATCATGATTAACAGCAGATCAATTCATCAAAGTTGAAAGATGGACTATGGAAGTGGGCTTGGGACCATGGTTGGGATATGTACACTATTGCAGATAGGAAAAGCTTACAGAATTGGTTCTAGGGCCCTCTGAGCACATTGATCCAGGTATGACTCATGACTATGTGACCCTGGTACCCCAGTTTCCATTAAGATTACACCAAGCCAAGTCCTGAGGGTAAGTCTGCCTCTCTGTAGGCTGGCTAGAGGAATCCATGCAATTTATTTTCAAAGATACTTTTCCTGAGGGCAAAACTGTATAAATTGACAGTTAGTGGTCAGAAATAGCTCAGTAGAGGCTGAATTTATATCAATTGGATTTAGGGCTCCCACTGCAACCTCAAAGGCAATAAAGATTTGAACAAAGTCCAGTGATCTCAAAGTTCACAAACTTGGGAAAGTGGTTTTCTGTTTCTGCCCACTAAAGGTGTTTCAGCTTCAAGTCCAAAGCAAGTGTTTCAGTTTCTCTGATCTGTTACAAGTGTATTTAAAGTTAAACCACTGAAAAGTTGAATTCATTCTAGCAGGGTTCCAATTAAGTCCGTCCAGTGTCTCCTCCAGTATATAATATTTTTGGGGTGTAATCAAGCAGGTCTGTGGATCGAGTCTCTTTGGCCTATGATAAATGCTATGACACTTTGCAAAGACAATTCTAAAATCCAGTTAATCTAAGGCATGAGGGCTGATGGGCCAACAAAAGCAACATTATTTTTAAAAAGCTTTAGATATAATATCAAACCACCAAGTTACTAAACGTCTCAAGCTTATAAGTAAGCAGCTAGATTCAAAAGAAGCTGCTTGTGACCATGTTAGCAATGAAAATAACTAAAACTATGAACATATTAAGTAAAAATCTTTTGTGACTTCCCACAAAATTTCAAATGGTCAGGGATTTATAGTTATTTGCTGATAAATAAACTGAGTATTAAGGAGCTCTGGTAGCGTAGTGGTTACGAATCGGGCTGCGAACCTTAAGGTCAGTGGTTCGAAACTACCAGCTGCTCCGCGGGAGAAAAATCAGGCTTTCTACTCCCGTAAAGATTTACACCCTCGGAAACCCTGTACAGGGTCGCTATGGGTCGGAACCGACTCGACGGCACTTAACAACAACAACAAACTGAGCATTAGCTTTTTCAAAACTATATGACTTGGTGCTATGGTAGCATAGTGTTTATGAATCGGGCTGTGAACCACAAGGTCAGCAGTTCGAAACTACCAGCTGTTCTGCTGGCGAAAGATGAGGCTTTCTGCTCCTGTAAAGATTTATAGCCTTGGAAACCCTGTACAGGGTCACTATGAGTCAGAACCAACTCCACAGCACATAACCACCACCATATGACTTGGTGAACCTAATCCACCCTGGTCCTGGAAGCCAGTTTACCCAAATAATGATGTATACCTTAAAACCAGTAATCAAAGAAATCTTGTTATTGCATGGCAAGAAACCCAATTCCTTGTCTTAAGCTATTTAGCATGATAACACCCAACTCTTTGCCAAAATTCAACTATTGAACTTTAGCCAGACAGGTAAAGCTTTGACTATTATCAAATAAATTTCTCTCTCTTTTTAAAATAAATTTATTTTCAATAGATATTTTGAACATTGTTCCAGTTGTATGTCTTTCATAATATGACCCTTCAAAAGGAAAAAAACCAAACTTATTATATTGGAAATCTGAATATATACATCTTTTCTCTAAAACCAAAAGCATCTGAACATCAAATTATAACAAATATTTGTTAACTCAATTAAACACCATTAAATTAATTAAAGATCTTGAAATTACCTATATAATAGCATAACACATAATTACAGTTGAAATAAAGTTTGTTGAGACAGTCTTTCTCTGAAACTTTTACCTATTTTTCCAAATCTAAATTTAGCTTTTCAAACTTCCTTAAAAATGTCTGCATCTAATTAAAAACTCACCACCATTGATCTGTCTCAACTCCTAGGACTTCTATAGGACTGAGAAGAACTATTCCACAGGGTTTCTGACACTGCAAATCTCAGACAGTCCCATACTATTGAAATTTGCACACTAACCACTAAAACCTGTGATGGTGAAATTGACGAATTCTACCAATGTCTACAGTCTGAAATTGATCAAGTATGCAATCAGTGCATCGATAATTACCAGTGATTGGACTAAGAAAGTTGGAAACAAAAAGGGAAGATCGGTAGTTGGTAAATATGGCCTTGGCGTTGGTGATGGAAACAATGCTGGAACATTATAAGAGCAATTACTTATTCATTGCAAATACCCCCTTTTTGACTATACAAGTGGACCTCACCATACTGAATACACAGGAATCAAATTGTCTACATCTGTGGAAAGTGACAATGGTGAAAGGTTGACTGTGGAACAGACCATCAGCTTCTCATGTGCAAGTTCAATCTGAAGCTGAAGAAAATTTTCAGAAGTCCAAGAGAGCCAAAAGATGACCTTGAGTATATCTCACCTGAATTTAGAGACCATCTCAAGAACAGATTTGTTGTATTAGATACTAATGACCGAAACCAGAGGAGTTGTGGGAAGACATCAAGAACATCATACAGGAAGAAAGCAAAAGGTCATTTTAAAGACAGGGGGGAAAATAAGACTAAAGTAGATATCAGAAGAGACTCTGAAACTTGCTCTTTTGTAGAGAAGCTATAGCAACTTGAAGAAATGAGGAAGTTAAAGAGTTGAACCGAAAATTTCAAAAGTGCAGTTTGTGAAGGCAATGTTAAATATTAGTGTCAAATATTATAATGGAATGTGCAAAGACCTGGAGTTAGAAAACTAAAAGGGAAGAACATGCTCAGCATTTCTCAAGCTCAAAGAACTGAAGAAAAAATTCAAGCCATGAATTATTGTGTTGAAGGATTTCCTATATAGGGTCGGCATAAGTTAGGCCTGATTTGATGGCATACAACCACCACCACCACCACGGACAAAATATTGAATGGTGCAAAAAACATCAAAA